TAAAACATTATGTTATGTAATTAATTACATATGTGTATATATTTTTTAAACATTGTATTTTGTAAATCCTGCATATCAGCGATGGTCTTCTTGCCCAGTACCTCGAATCGCTGACCATCCTCACTGTTGAGCCCTGTAAACACAGAAGTCTTCCCTCACTCCATCTCTTTATCTCTCATTAATCTGAATGTCTGTTTAATTCATTCATTTTCTCTGTGCAATGACGACACGTTCAGCTTGATTAGAATCAATGTCACACTGAAAGGTAGAGGAAGGGGACTGAGAAATTGAGTGAACAGAAGCAAGAGAAGACGTAAAATGTGTGCAAGGAGAGGCTGGCGGCGAAGGAAAGGATGAGGAGAGGCTCATTACCGCTCCAGAAGAACTGTGGAGGCTGAAGCACATTAGCTGAGCTCGTATAAGGGGAATCTCCATTCACCCTCCCTCTGCATCTATCAGATTGCAGCACATCACAGAGAGGCCAGAGGATAAAAGCACGGCTCAGATGTAGAGATATAGGTAAGAGACGTGCCTGAATATCCTGATGCCTCTGAGCCAGAGGTCTCAGAACATCAGCAATGTAGAAATCTTCCGCCACCCACTGATAAGAGATCAGTGTAAGGGACTGGCCAGCTATCAGCCTGCACCGAAAAGTCATGCTGCTCGTACACAGGAGAGAAAATGTGCGTCTGGAACGAGCTGCATGCAGAGAGCCACCTCCACTTCATCGCTATTCTCCGGCAGCTGCGGGGAGTGACCTTTGCTGGCAGAGAGCTTAAGATAGTTAAAATTTGATTGGATTGAGGAAAGCTAAAAGAGGAGAAAATAGAGCCTTTTTCTATCATTGATGCTAACCTTGAGGAGAGTCCCAGTGAGGATGACTGGAATTTTTCTCCAAGAGACAAAGAGAAAGGGAGACTAGATAGAAGTCGCTGTGCTGCATTTGAACGATATATAAAATAAAAAATCATGGAAAATAAATGTGAGCCTATTAGACTGGAAAAATAAAAAAAACATGTCCAACTGACCCCTAAAAATAAAATAAAATAAAATATTAAATTATAGTTTGCATAAATGAAGCCTAATTTTAGGACCATTAATAACTTTTCACATTGTGAAATTATTTTCATGAAAAAATTTTCCATCATATTTTTATCCCATTTTATATCATTTTAAATTTTTCCCATATCAAATTCTCATTATTGTAGTGTATCGGGGCTTTTACTTTTGTGCTTTTCTTTATTTCTCATTATTTTCAATCTCAGGTTTCTTATTGCTACACTGATTTTGTAAACTAAAATTAGCATAAAGACAGCACAAGAAACATTTCATAATGTACAGTATAAATTATGTATAAATACTATAATTTAAATATTATATCAGTTTTGTCATATTTTTATAGTAATTCATTTTAGATAGAATGAATAAACAGCTAAATGAATGACTGTAGATGAATGCAATATGCATTAAAATTAAATGTAATTTGTTCCTTTGTTTTGAGGTGAAATATGACCCTAAATATGGTCTAAATATGCACCAGAAGCTATAAATAGGCTCACAAGTACTCACAATGAAAAAGATGCTTGGTCAATGGATCCAAAAATGTCGGACTGTGTCTGAAATCACATAATTTCTGAGTAGGTACTTCTTCTGAATAAGTACTTACTAGGGATGTCAATTCTCAATGTAATATCGAACCATTCAGTATGACATCCACGGTTCAATGTGCGCTTGTGAATTGCGGTTTTGCATTTAAAATTCCATGTGTTTTATTTCTCAAAGAATTGGCTGTGTGATGAGGAAACGCCTCCCCACTTATAATGTGCATTTGAAAAAGCAACACACACCAAGCATCTTCCCTTGTAATGACTTGCTATGAGAACCGTTTCTAAACCTGTTGTCCAAAAAAAGAGAACATTATAACTTGCTTTTACTTCACAACATTAGTCGAGTATTTGAAATAACGTTCTTTTGTGATCTGATGTGGCTTCTTGTCACAGAATGAGGCCGAAAATATATTACATACTGTAATAAAGGCTATGTCGATTAGCAATGGCTTACAAATATACTTAATCATTATGAAAATACCCGAGATGGCTTGAAGAACACAGCTAAACTATATATACTGTTTATTGTCCCAACCTTTCATCATTCAAAATGCTTAATATTATGTCTACTTTTTATTTAGTGACAGCATGCCTTTGTCCATATTAGGGATTTCCTGGAATGCCATCAGTTCTATTACTTCGGTGATGAATATGTGTATTTTATGTGTGAGGGCGCCCTCTGGCTATCAGTATGAATTAAACACATTGCATGTGTTTATAGTGCACAATAAACAATTCATCCTATTTTGGTTAAAAATAGGAAAAATAATACCTCTCTCAAAATAAATTTTAAGTAGACATAATAATCCACGCTTTTTCCAGTGTACATAAATTTACAGCAGTTTTTTGTTGTTAATTTGTTGCAAAAAATGCTCTGATGAGCCAAGCCATCAGAATTGAACCAAACTGAAAACCGTGGTTAAAAAAAACGAGGTGTTTTGAACCATGTGCTAACTGTATTGTTGCATCCCTAATACTTACATTACTTCACAGCCAGTAAAATGTAGGTTATATATAGTATGAATGTGTGTAGTGTAAATGTCATTCAGATGTAATACTTTCATTGTTTTCATTGTCATTGAATTCACAAGTTCTCTTCTGCAGCACCATGGGATAGTAATGTTTTCACTGAATGTACATTTCAGAATATTGCCAGTAAATATATAGTTAATTTATAGATATTTTTCTCTACACTCTTAAAAATAAAGGTTTATTGGCATCTATGGTTTCATGAAGAATCTTGAATATCCATCCCAGTGGGCAATTGATGTTGAAAAGCCATCAAATTGACATCAAACATTGACGTCAAATATGCTAATCACACTGACGTCAAAAATTTGACATGACATTGATTTAAACTGAACATCAAACATATTGGCCTACATATACATTAAACCAATTTCAGTGTGGAATTATCTTCCTATTTTCACCCAATTACCACTGGAAGAAATTGCCATCCAAACTGAATTTAATTTTGCAGTATCGTGGTTGTCTCGACTGATATTTGACATTAAATTGATTTCATTGCACAAAACGCTCTTTAGGATTGGAAAGGGTTCTTCAGAATATTAAATAGTTCTTCACACTAAGAAAAAAATGGTTCTTTTAGGAACTGCTCACCGGAAGGTTCGGGGAACCAAAAATTAATCTTAAATGGCATTGCTGTAAAACGACAACAAAACAAACAAACAAAAACACTTTGGAACCTTTGTTTTTTAAGAGATTATATAGTTGGGAAGTACTGAATGCATATGCAGCCTTGCTCTCTTCAAACTGTGGCTTCACCATGACCGGCCATAGAAGAAGGACTTGCTCTAACATCTGCTATCGCACCCATTTGCATTGTGTTTTGAATTGTGTTTGGAACGAAGCGGCAAACAAAATCAAGATTGCGCCACTACAAGCATTTGCGCTCACGTACGTGCATAGAGCGTATCAAGCCTCAGAACTGACAGAGACATCAAATCCAGTATTTCTAGGAGAGAAAGCATCTCACATTTGTTATTTGCAATCAGAGGTGAGAGATTGCATTTCGCTTCAGAATAACCGTTGTAGTTCAAATGCGATAATAAGGTGCTTCTAGGAAATGCGCTTGTTGTGCCAACAACATGAAGGCAATTTATTTACTTTCAAGAGGTGAGCAGGTATCTCTTACTGGTTTCAGAATGCTTCGTTTGTGTGCTTATAAATAATTGCAGAGGTTGAGAGGAGAAAAGAACAGCGCATTAGCAAAACACGCAGCAGAGAGGGACAAACGAAGGGGAGGTGAGCGGGGTGGGTTGCCAATTCCCTCCCCTATTTCATTGTGTCCCTCCGCAGATATGGTTAACTGTCCTTGGCTCACTTTTTAATCCAAAGCCATTTCATTATTTACGCACACAGGACTGTCTGCTTCCCCTTCTCCTCGTGGTTCCTCTCCTGGGGAAGGAAACAAAAGTTAATTGAAATAAATGAACTGGGGAGTGAATCAGAGTTGATTACATCTGCGAGGTAGGAAGTGATGTTGATTACAAGTGCAGAGAGAGCGAGAGAATGTAGCTGCGGCTAATGAAGAGACATGCTTGTCTGTTGCCTTTACAGAAGACATCACATTGCCTCTGATCCTCTCCAAAAAGACACTCGCCTCAGAACCCGAAAAATTGCTTGCACTCCGAAGACAATGAAAAGGTTTCCTTAAAAGAAAAGCATTTTTTAATTCGCTCACTTTTTCACAAATACAACTGTCAGGCAACAGATTAGTATTATCATTCATACTTTAGAATAACTGTACACTATGTAAAATTAATAGCACAGACAATATACAAAGGAGGGTTCAGAGGTCAGGATGGGCAGGACTGAACTTAGTTTAGGAATAAGGATACTAGACATAGCAACCAGGCCAATTAATATTTATCCATTCTGGGATTGTCCAATTAACAAATTTGGTTGTTCCACATTATGTAGTTTCAAATCTAGCAACCCGTCAACAGATAATAAATATTTTTAGTTTTAATATTTGTAAATAAATTGTAAAATGTGTTTAATTTAATGTGCCGTTTAACAGATTTAATAGTTTGCTTTATGTCAGTTCCAAATAAAAAAACATCCTTGTCTTAGTCTGTATTTTTGCCTTGCTTACTAGTACAAATATCGAAAAATTCTTAAATCAAGATCAATTTACTTGCAGAATGACATAAGTCTTGTTTTCTGAGGAAAACAAAATTAATTGAGTTAATGTTTAAAACTAAAAAATATCTGACAATGGGGTCAGAAAAATAACAACTCAAACAAGATTATTTTTCTAATTTATTTTTACCAAAACTTGCTTAGTTAAAAAAAAAAAGGATGAACAAAACATGGTATGTCATGTACTGGAAAAGCAGACAAAAATACTGTATATTTTTGCAGCGTATAGTTAATATTAAAAATAATCCGTTTCGGTTTTCAGTTGGGGTTTGTTTTTTTTTCAAATTGAGAAAATATAGTGTAAAATTGATCGCCATTGCTCAATGAACATATTTGGAAGTTTCCTTTTCTCTTTTTTTAAATTTTAGGAGTAAACATTGTGTAAAATGCATTTATTCTCAGCATTTTTGTGTACGTCTATATAAATTGCCAATATATTATATACATATCAGCTTTACATCATTGGCATGCCTGCTTTTACAAATGTATTTTGCACCATATTGGCTGTATATTACAGCACTTTTTTTCTGAGAGTGTTTATCTCCCTCCATTAGTATTAAGCACCACAGATGTCTTCCCTTTTCCTACCTCTGCCCCTGAGACAACAAATTATCATTACACATAGCAAAAAAACTAAACAAATCTTTTTAGCACCACAGTGGGAACACACAACAAACAAGACATATCAACACACATACACAGCACACAATACTCTGAGGTTGATGATCAGGAACATGGTAATCACAATTTCAAATATGAATGTGTTTACATAAAAAAGAAGGATAATTTAGTCAGTCTTCAGTGTAATGCTCGTATGACACCCCTCTCTCAATCCGACACAGTGTTTTTCATTCATTACCACATACATATATGAAGCAATTCAGCTGTGCGGAGCAAAGGTTGATAGTCTAGCACCATGGAAACATGGATCACTGACAGGCAAACACACTAGGCTGCCTACTAACAAGACAAGCAGCTTAAGTGAGCGGACTACTTTACATATTAATAAGCAGCTGGGCTCCATTTGAGTCATGCACATAAACTGCTTTGTGTTTTGAAAAGCTCGGGCCTTATTTAACATTGTTTATGTATGAGTGTGCACTGATTAAAGATGAGTAACACTGCAAGTTTGATGCGACAGGTTTTCTTGTCAAACTAGTAAAGAGGTATAACTTTGCCTCAGTTGGCATCACATTGCAGTCAAGGCAGGAACATGGGTCTGAGAAATATTTGCTCTTCAATGTCAAAGCTGATCCCTCAAGTGGAAAATTAATTTCAAATCATCGCTATCAAATGAGACAAACAAATATGAGATCCCAGTCACAGGCTGTAAATTCAACATATATGCTACGGGCTAAAACGATCTGTGGCACAGATGACAGACAAATGATGTATTTGTTTTTCAGCCAGAGCAGTTCTGAGATCTCTAGTGGGTCACGCCTCATAATTTAATCCACAGGTGAGTACAGTATAAAGACAGACAGAAAATTAGATAAAAAAAGACTTCCCTTTGATAAATGTGCTTAGTTTGTCCTGGTTGGCATCCTTGCGTAGCCACCATGGATTTTTGGGCTTTTGCAACTCACCAGATGTTCAAAAGTAATTTGGAAACATGCCACCAACCCCACCGTCTACACTTGCGTAATAAATAGCATTCGTGGCCTCATTGCTTTAGCTGGTGAGTTCTGTGATGAGGCGCTCTGTGTTAGCCATTAAAACACACTGGTCCAACATGGAAGCCAAACTTCTGGTTGTTATTCCCAAAGTCTGATACTGCCACATCTATGACCGGAAGAAGCTCGGATCGCGGAGAGTCAATCTGCAGCACGGTCCTCTCCTGACCCTTATGTGTCTGTGGGAAGAAAATAAAACGTGAGCTGAAAGAAGGCATTTATAGTGTATTTTTGCTCTGGGGTGAATTGCTGAGTGTATCCCTGTGAGGTTCTTCTGCTGGATAAAGAATTAAACTCCTGCTAAAATAGGCGTATTTGGGTGCTATTTTAGAATTAGCGTGTTCTGATTGTTTTTAGCTCCCCATTCTCCGCTGACGGAAGGCTAATTTGGTGATTCATTAAACTCCTAAAGAATTGTTAAACTAATACTTCCATACAGACAAAATTACTGTTTACAAACAAACACACGACGACGGCATAACCAGGTTCTTTAGGCACCCCAGAAAAGAGCTGCTTTAGATTAGCACTTCCTTTAAAGTAGCAAAAACATTGGTGGAGGTTTGGCCTTCTTTCGATTTCCGTCATGATCAATGGATTAGGACTGTTGATTTAACTCGGGATTCGTGCACAGATGCTTTTCGTGAAAGGATATGCAGATTTAAACCCTGCAAATAAAATATGTTCATTTATTTTGAATGGAATAAGTACAGTAACTATCGAAAAAATATGTTAAGTCTATAGCCCCTTTCACAAATAAAGAATTTACTGGAAAATTACCAGTAAATTGCTGTAAAGAGATCATGTGTGAATAGGACCTTTTCAAAAATATCGGTAAATTCGTTCCGGCAATTTACCGGTATGAGAAGTTGTAACATTGCAAGTAAATTGCCGGAATGATGCTGTGTGTAAACGCAGAATGAAGATTACCAGTATGAGAACGTATGAGTTCAGAACGTGCTGACGTAAGACGTCCACTCTGGGCCGATCCAAAGCCGCTGAAATTCAAAATTTAACGGCTCTGAGCCAATCATAACATTCTGATGCAGATTTACTCTGCGCTGCGTTGTTCGGTTTGAAGTCGTGATGTCTCTGGGCCAAAAGCGCTGCATGAATGTAAATGTTTGACACAAAAATTAAAACATCAACAAAAACACTGATCGCGTTTACCCCTCCATGTTTACAAACACAACGCAGGAGGCGCAGTTGTTTAGAGGTCATTTCCGTTTAATGATGTCACAGAATTTACCAGTAATTTTAATTAATTTTTTCCGGAAAAAGATGGAACGTTGTTGCCTGTGTGAACAGCACATTTTTTAAATTACCGGTAAAGTCGTTCCTGTAATTTTATGGCAATTTATTGGTATTACTGTGTGAAAGGGGCTTATGTCACACTACCAATGTGGTCAAATGTATACTTGAGAAATAAAAGATGCATACAGTATAGCTCATTTGCTGGGTAGCCAAATATTTGTAGTTTTTACTTTTACATGCCTGATTTCTATTTAAAAAATTGCACTATGTTTGAGGGTGTTATTCACTAACCTGTGGACAAACTGGTTGCCTGACAAACTAAAACACTGCATACAGTGTTTATACTATTTAAATACTATTTATATTATTCAAATGTTTTGGGTCTATAAGATTTTTTAGAAAGAAATATCCTATGCTTTACAAGGCTATATTTATTTGAGCAAAAATACAGTAAAAAACAGAAATATCATAGCATTAATATTACTTTTGTTTTAAAAACTGTTTTCTATTGTAACATTTTAAGATATAATTTATTCCTGTGATGGTAAATGAATTTTCAGCATCATTACTCCAGTCTTGAGTGTCACATGATCCTTCGGAAATTATTCTATGCTGATTTGCATCTCAAGAAACATATCTCATTATTATCAGTTGAAAACAGTTGTGCAACAGCATTTATTTGAAATAGAAATCTTTTGCTACAGATTTTAGTTCTTATTTGAACTGCAGTGCAGCTCAATATCAAAACCAAAAGCTGCTTATGTTAATTTCATAAATAGAAATCTCCTCACCTGACAACCATCATACAGTGCTGTGATAAAGGGTGATTTGGCTTGCGTCATCTCCTCGTCATTGCTTCCACGGAACCGTATGGCAAATTGATGGCTGTGGCTCGTCACGTCGTACCAGCCGACAGAGTTCTGGCAGCTATAGGTGAAGGTCTGCATAGCTGTGGCACTGAGGAGCTTCAGGAAGGTCAGCTGGACCACAGGAACTGGATTTCCATCAGTGTCAATGTAGGAGAACTGCAGCAATGGGGAATCATGGGTAAGGAGCACTCAGCTTAATCAAAGACAGTTCTTTAGACATATTTATTGCATGACATCCATACAAACTTGCTCACCCCTCCTTGGTTTTATTTCTAATGAAGGCAGGAAAGAGTGACATCTGTCTGCGAATGAGCTCCGAGTGAAACAGGCTTTAGCTGTTAGTCTCAAGCATCATTTAATGAGTCAAGACGGATGGAGGTCGCTAGCGTGCACTCAAGAGAGTTTGGCCCGAGGCGTTTCAGATAGAGCCACGTATAAATTCCGTCATATCCCTTTTCTAGACCAGACATACCATTTATTTTTTATTTTTATCAAAGACACACACCCATTGAGTGATGCATCTCGGTTGATTGTTTCGCAGTTAATTTGAGAGTAAAAATTCTATATAACAACTGGTCTATTTATTGCATCAGGCAGTATGTTTCTAACAAACTGTGGGGTGACAAAAATAATTTTTAGGCAAAATGTGAAAAAAAAAAATGAAAAAAAAAGGTGTCTAGATTCAAACTTGGTGCTGCATGCATGTTGACACTCAGAGAGTTAAAAAGATGAAAGAAAAACATTTGAAGGGAAAAGCACCTGTTTGCCCTTTCGGTACTGGCTGTACCAACTGCCCGGTTTTTCTTTGTTCCAGGCGGCCAGCTTCACCTGTATTGAGAGATGAGAAGACAGATCAGACGTGTTTTTCTTCAGACTCCAGAAGGCCTGTTGAACTGAGACTGCAGGAAGACGTGTGTAGTGTACGTGAGTACGGTTTGAGAGTCACCATTTCAAATCGTTTATCAGGGTGCAGACAGGTCTCCCCCTCCGCAGTGAAGTTGCAGAAAACCTTAATGGAGTCTCGATGGCAGCCTTGGTTTGGGTCAATCCAATATTCACCTAAGAGGGGGTGGATTGCATAGTTTTTAAATACTCATTTAGCTGGGGAGAATAACATGGGGCAAATTCCCTAAATAGTCGCTTTCAGTATTAAACACACAAAGAGCACAAACACAGTTCTTTTCTATGTAAATTAGAATCATTAAAGATACTGCTAGTGCTATTTGCCAAGGTCATGTAGCGTTCAAAATTGAGAATTCTTTTTAAATTACAATTCAATTCCTGAATTTAAATTGAAGTAGAATCAAAATGTATTGCATGAAAAAGAAGACGTCCCTGTAGCTCAAACAGTAGAGTATGGCACTCGCAACACCAAGGTCATGGGCTCGATTCCCAGACAAGCATGAACTGACAAACTGTATGCCAATGCATAAATTCAAAGAAACTACAATAAGCGCCATTTCTAATTTCCACGTTCTGCATTTTTAAAAGCTTATTCAGGTATCTGGTGGAATGTAGTGATTCTATATAGTTCCATTGAAGTTTGTCAGATTGTGGTAGTCTGAAGCATCTTTTACAACCAAAGACTCTGAACTGACCTGCTTGATAGAGAACTGCACTGTGCAAATTGCAAATTGTGCGCTGTTACCTATTTGCATAATTCCTTCAGTGAACAGGCAGCATGTGCAAATAAACCAAGACGGCCACAGCAGGTATTCTTAGAGAATTCATCCCATGGAAGAAATTAATTAACTAATGGGAAATGTGTGTAAAATTCCTCACCATCTTTGTATTCTGGATGACACAACATCAGCTCCTTGCATGTGCGGGCAGGACTCTCGAAGGTCCCGAGTGGTTTTCTCATGAGCTCCACCTCTGTTTTCATTGAGTTGAGTGAAGCGAACACCTCCTCCATGCCTTCTGGGTCATCCAGAGACTCGTCTGCCTGTAGGAAATCCTCCATGTTGAGCTGGACTGCTTCCTCGTCTTCGCTCTCTGCCCTGGCTCCGAGTCCTTGTCGGTTTGAGTGTCTCCTTCGCTTTTTACGTCCCTCTCTGAATGGCAGAGGCTCGATCATAGTGGCTGGTGGGCCCTAGAGAAACAGAGTGAGACATGAGGAGACAGGAAAACAGAAACAGACAGAATATTAAGGAGACATTATGATGGCCTACAGGTGGTCCAGTTGGGCCAGCAGGTCCTGGATCTCCTCTTGCACCGATGGCTCCCTTCGGGGTGAGAGAAACAGAAACATTTTACTCAGGCATCCCTAAAATTGGCACTACCCTCAAAGGCCCCTGCCAACTCAGTGCTTCATATGGCGATTCGTTCAGAGGGATTATCCAAGTTACAGCAGCAGGATGCAACTCAGGCACTGACAATGTCTTTCACTCAGGTTTCACAACAGAAGCAAAAGCTCAGATCAAAACAAACAAAATACCATATAAACAGAGAGAGGCTGAAAAACAAGATTGCAATGAAAAATATATATACCGACCTGGTCTCCTTTAGATCCCTTCTCACCTATTGCACCCTACCAGTGAGAAAGAGAATAAAAGTAATGAAAAACAGGCAATATGATTCCGCAAATAAATTTAAACCTAACAGGTACCTTTAAAAGTAGTTGTTGTTCCACTATGAAACTAAGAGATAATCGATAAATTGTGTGAGAAAAAGGAATGCATATAAAAATGGCAACTCACAAACAACCCAGGGGGTCCAGGTGGACCAGTCGGGCCTGGGGGACCACCAACACCCTATTATCAAGAAATCAAAATAACATTTTCTTTAAGACCATCATTATTAAAGGTAGTTAAGGGGGTATGTGTAACATTATTCTAATATATTTACATTGTAATCTCTATGGTGGCTACTGGTCATTCATGCTAACATTTGCCCATCAATAGACAAAATAGGTATTAAATTCAAATGCATCCTAACTTTCTAAGATATTGGTCATACAAGAAAATTATAACTCAAAATCCATTTTTTATTAAACATTTCTCATGAAACATTCCAACTTTTTAAATTGTCTTAGCATGTGCTCAGCGAATTTGTGATGTACTTGAGTTGCCTACTCTATTTCTACATACATTTTAATAAAACTCCAACAAAGGCCATAAATCTAATGCTAATATACTATATAGTAAAAATGTTTATAATAGCAGAGATGTATACATACACCATCTCCTTTAGAGCCTTGTACTCCCTGATTTCCCGGCAGGCCTCGATCTCCTTTCTCTCCCATCTCTCCTGGAGGTCCAATCAGTCCAATCAGCCCAACATGACCCTACAAAGAACAGCAGAGCTAGACTAGTGCACTGAGCCATTACAGTTACCACATGCCATAATTTCGCAAACACAAGGACTTCACAATATTTCACAATGAGCACAGTGCCGGGAAGTTATGCTTTGAGAGTTTTATGCTTGGCTTTAGTGAGAGATGTAATCATTGGTTTCAAGCTGTTCAGTTATGTTCCCAGCTCTCTCAAGCTGTATTGTTTGGGTTATGTGAAATGAGCTTATGTGAAACTAGCACATCTATGATGCAGTCGAGTATCATACCTCACAGTGTCGAGTGTTTATGATGCTCTCATACCTTATCTCCTTTAATGCCGGGATCTCCTTTCAGTCCTGGTAATCCAGCTGGACCCTATATAAAGCAAAGCCAGTCACAAAGTTCAATTTCATTTTGAAGCAGAATTTGCTACAAGCCCAAAATAATTTGTCTTCTTTTCTTAGAGCAGCATTTGATACAGTTGTAGATCGATATGGGAGAGAAAGAAGTGGTGAAAACCCTACCATAGGTCCTGGGGGTCCCGTTTGCCCTGGGGGCCCATTTAACCCTTGCTCCCCCTTGAAAGGACCAAGCAGAGTAGTAAGTTCAAGATATATTAAGCGGTCAGAGATATCAGTAATAAGAGTGGGTAAGTCACGTTGTTCGATATCTGCTATCAATAGCAGATTGGTATACTGTAACATAGATGTGCTTAGACTCACAGCAGAGCCTGGAATCCCACGCAAACCCTCTGGACCAGGGTTTCCAGGGTGTCCCTGTGGTCCAACAGGCCCTGTTTTTCCCATTGGACCCTCGGCACCAGCAGAACCCTAAAGAAGATAAACATGACAGTTGTCCTTGTGTAAAACTACGCCATGCTATATACGAGAGTTTACATAAAGATTTATTATAAAAGACTCACCTTTGCCCCCTTTTTTCCCTGTTTCCCTTCTTTTCCCTCAGGGCCTACATGACCCTGTGTAGAAGGAGACTAGTGATTAGATTACAGAGTTTTTTTTATAGTATGGGATTCATTCAGTAAACAATCGAATCTCACCCTCCTTCCAGGTGGCCCTGGAGGGCCAGGCTCTCCTGAGGCTCCTGGGGGTCCCTGTTCAAAACAGAATATTTACTTGAATTAGTTTCACAAAAGTATCATTACATCGATATCTCTAAGTGCTTGAATACTCTACTTACAGCTTTGCCAGGTTCGCCATTATCCCCTTTAGCTCCTGGGCCACCATCAATACCCTACAACCACAAATTATATTCAAATCACCATGTGAAATTACCATCAAAATGGATCAATCTTGAAGCTTGAATTGATGCAGGTGTTGCTGCACTTACATTAGCACCTGGCTCTCCTGGGGGTCCCGCATCTCCAGGAAATCCAAGGGGACCCTATTGAGGAAAATGGATGGTGTCAGAGTAAAAATATCCTGACAGTTTTAACTATGGGAATAGTTACTCACTAGGTGTCCTTTGGGTCCATCTGATCCAGGTGTGCCTCTGATTCCTGGGGGTCCTGCAGCCCCAGGGGAGCCAGTATCACCCTTCTCGCCCACTTCACCTTTGTCTCCCTTGACATTAAAGTAACAGGGTGCTTAGTGATACATGGGGGATCAAAGACTAATGAGAAAAGAGGTAACAGGAAGAAATGACTTACAGGGGGGCCAGTTTCGCCCACATTTCCTGGATTCCCTGCTTCTCCATCCTCACCCTAGATAGAGAGCAAAAGAGACCGACAAAGAGAAGAAAGCAAAAAGAAAGAAAGCGACCATCCATCATACTTAGGCTTACATGTTTACGTAGTTACAGAGGCAGCACCCTCCACCAAATAAACACAACCTCCCCCATAAATCACAAAAACACTTGTACATATACACAGTGAGAGAGAGGTCTACCTTTTCTCCCACCATTCCTGGCTGGCCCACTCCGCCCGGCATGCCCTGAGGACCCTTGCCACACAGAACAAAACTGAGTCAGTTTCATACATAATGCATGCAAGGTTGTCTCCTCTACTTGCAGACTGTTGACATTATAGTGATGAGATTACAGACTACCGAGCATGGTCTCTGTGTATATGCAATCATATTTTATTAAGCTAAAACGCCATATTGTTCAGCCTTCTCCTGGCTGAGGCGTTTATGGCTGCAGTGGCTGAGTGTGAATATCTCGAATGAGTCTAAACTGAAGTGGCTGCCCTGGTCTCTGGAGTCTCTCTGCTGAGTGCCTTTAAGTGAGGTGCACACATGAAGCCAAATAGATGACCAGCACATGCTTACTGGCTGCTTTTCATACGATGGCCACAATGAGCCCCGGTGCACAACTCTTCCCCCTCTCCCGCTCTGTGAGAGTGCTGGAGTACGGGTCACTGCCGCGTCTGTCTTGGTTCTCTCACTTTTCAATTATTAACACATGGGAGATGTTCAAAGGCAGCCATTAATAGAGGTAAATATAACTCCCTCTCCGGGATGATAGTCTAATATTCCTTAATCATTCATAGAGAAGTAAATATAACTCTTGCAGAAGGATCATATCCCACTTCTTGTTAATAATTTAACGCTCAAAATCAGCAGAGTGTGGGCAGAAAGAGATATGGGGGGATGAAAGTCTGAGGAAAGAGAAATGAGGTGTCGTATGTGATCTCATAACAGCCTGGGGGGGTTTTCATCTGCGGTACGGCAGAGTGTTGATACACGGAACAGGTTCTTTGGAGTCGTGAAACAAATATTCCTCATTATGTCTCAGTAGTACTGGGACAACAGTCCCTAATCAGTGCTAATCTACTGTCCTGCACTTGAACCCTACTGCACAGGAGGTTGATAGACAGGAAGGAAAACACAAAGACATTTACCTCTCCCCCAATGGGTCCCTGGGGGCCACGCGGGCCATGTTGTCCTGGAGGGCCCTGATGACAAGCATAAAGATTAAGCAATTCCCACATATCATTAGACATGTACTCTCTCTTTCGCTCTCTCTCCTCCTCTTCTTGTACACAATCAGCACCTTTCTCTGTGCCAGAGCTGTGTTTTTTTGTACATCTCTGGCATGGTGGTGACAGGCTATTACGAGCAGTGCTGATTCCCTCTCTGTGTGCTGTGTCTGCGTTTTAATGAGGACCATCTCCCTTCTCCATTCTCTGGTTACACTGCATGAATTCTCAACTCCTGAGGCATACCTCTTATTGCTGCGGAGGGCGGAACATGAGCCATTAATCAAACTGGCCAAAACCGTTGCTAGCACGCCGCACGCGGTCTCCACCGAGAGATATTAGTGCTGCATGAAGCATTCAGCTGGATAGACTACAGCGAGGATCAACGCCAAGGCTGAGTGTGTAGTCTCAAAAATATACAATACCCCACTCTCCAGAATCCATCACAGAGGCTTAACACAAACTGGTACAGCGAAAATGGGAAATTCAGTGGCAATGCATTAGGGCCTGGAAATCCCATGATCCACGGCATTCACTTATGGATGAGATGTTCCCAGTGAGGTCTTGTGGCTTTGTTTTTGCCTGGTTTTGATGCACTTCATCTAATCGTGCAAGTGTGTGGAACCGTTGAGAATCTTGTTTTGCATTCCTTCATGGTTTACGGAGCCGGGAGAAGACTGTCACAAAGGAGTGCGCTCATTAGACAGCCCAGGCTCACGGTAATCTGATTAGCAGCTGTCACGCTGCCTTCCACTTCAGAACCAGCATCACTCTCTCTCTTCTGTCACTCTCGGCTCACACGGGTCTGACACTTATACACTCACACACATGAATGATGCCCTAGTCTCACACGGCTTCTCTCACGGTTTCCTCATCTTTCACTGTATGATAGTTCTCTACTGACTCTCATCCTACAAACACAGTCCTGTTAAGAGAAATGCTGTGCGGGTTTGGAACGTTGGACTGACTTAATGGGATACTCGAGTGAATGATTGTTTTTCATGAACAAGTTTGTACCACAAACTACTATTTTATGTTAATGTAATAAATGTGTAAATGTGAGTTGTGCTTGAGGCTCCAGGAACAAGTTTGGGAACCACTGGCTTAGCAAAGCAACAGCACTCTTCTCTTTGACAAGTGACATGATTTCAGTAATCATTCCGGTTTGGGACCACTTGTGTGTAGAAGTACTTCTGAATTTCCTTTCTTTTGGAGAATTTAAAATGTCCATTTCTATATTTGCAGTTTTTGAATTTGAACTGAGGTAGCACATCAGATGCAGAATTTTAATTTGTATTAAGGGTAGTATTAAAATAAATAGAAAAATGTCTCTATATCAGTACGCACTGTTGAACTTCCTCAAATGCCTCAATTGTAGAGCTGGGTGTTAAGAAATTAGTTATTTTTAAAATTTATATATGAAGAGTTCAGAAGCAAAATGTCTGTAAGTGCCACTTGAAATTTTCTTCTAAAATGAGCATTTTTCTCAGGCTTCTATGTTTATGTTCAGTCATTTCACTGTAATGGCAATGAAGAGAACCTATTCATTGCCATTAAAGTGAAATTACTGAACCTTCACATAGGAGCAGCCTAATAAAAATGCTCATTTTAGAAGAAAATTTCAAATGGCACTTACAGGCTTTTGCATCTGAACTCTTCATATACTTTTTCTTTTCTGACCATTTAACAGAACAAGGTGGAAGAACACTTCAACTCAACTATGATCAGTTCAAATCCGAATAATCCTCCTGTGGGGTGTGACAAATTCAATTAAAAAATCCAACTCAACAACTGGAAAAGAGATTTTTTTTTTAATACTGAATTTTTCCCAAACTTGCTGCATGCAATGTGTAGCATTTAGGGGTATTACACAGGCTAAAAACTTATACTATAGCCAAAAAATTAATACGAGGAGTTTATGAAATGCACATCTTACCATAGCTCCAACATGGCCACTCTCTCCCTTCTCTCCAGGGGGTCCTGGCATTCCCTAAATAAACACATTTACATTTAGAGTCATACAGTTTCGAAATGAATGTGGATTAACCCCCTCAATGAACGGTGAAAACTATGACCCATCTGGATATAGATGAACTAAGATTTTGCAAACAGTGCATTCATGCATGCAGTCAATAAATAAGGACATCTGGAACTGACAGAATGCTCAACATGTAACAACTCAGTGACGCAGACTTAAAAATGGCAGTCTATTTGCAAAAATGTTCACAAAACCAACAACCTTCTGTTATTGGTTGTATTTTTATAGCCCCCAACTTTGATTTCATAGGTTTTGTTTGGTTTAACTCTAGAGTCACACTGCGGAAAGATGGTCCGAAAAGTCATATGTATGTGGCATATGCTGTACCTGCAACCCTGGTGGTCCAGTTGCCCCTTTAAAACCATGAGAACCTTCATCTCCTTTAGGGCCGTACATTCCTTGCTGTCCCCGGGGCCCTGGCTCTCCATCCAGACCCTGAAAGAGACATCAGCGCTGGACTGTGAACACACAAAGAATTCCAATCACCCTCACATTGGGTCACACACACCACACTCATACATACTGGTGATCCTGGCTGTCCAGGAGGTCCTTGGCTCCCAGGCGGCCCTGGGGGACCCTGTGAGATAAATTACAGAGATATGGTGATACATACCTCTAAAGAAAGTGTATGTAATATTCAGCACTTATGACAAGATAGAGATACTAACCCCCTCTCCCTTGTCTCCTTTGCTGCCTTTCTGTCCTGGTCCTCCTGTCTCCCCCTGAAAAACATGCCCATAAAGAACAAGCAGTATGAGCACACAAGCATGAGCAACTTCTGAAAAATGAGTCAAAGCTGTACCTTATCTCCGTCCTCTCCAGGTGGACCAGGCGACCCTGCAGGACCAGGTAATCCCACAGGCCCTTGTTCTCCATCTCGCCCAGCAGGACCAATTGAACCTTTCTCACCCTGAAGAGGAACAGAGGTAATTGGACATTACTCTTAAAGCTACTCTAGCACAGTAGTAAATCTTCTCATTTCACAGAGTAAAATATCCTGTCGACACTCACCGGCTCGCCCTTCTCTCCCATTGGTCCAGGGGGGCCGACACCTCCCGTACGGCCAGGCTGACCAATGACACCTGCAGGTCCAGCGGGTCCTCTTTCTCCTGTGGCACCCTGGACAGACAAAGGAATGCAACATTTTAGTTAGGGGAAGTATATAGAGTAAAACACAAAAGAGGAAAAAGGACAATGGAAAAAACACTTACTATTGGTCCTGCAACACCAGGGGGGCCCTCCCCACCCTTCAAACCTGCAGTACCCTAATAAAACATAAATGCAAGACAGTAAAGATGATTAAATGATAAAGATTTCAAAAAATCCTACAGCATTAGCCATCTGCCTATTTGTAAAAAGCCTGCTTTCATATTGAAATAGTTGTCACTTATGTAAAGACAACAGCCGTCACAGTAGGAATTATAAGAAGATATCCTCTCAGATGTGCTGAGGTATGTTACCGGAGTGCCAGGTAAGCCTCTTTCTCCTCTGAATCCATGACGTCCAGCAGGACCACTCTTCCCGGGCAGCCCTGCAGGGCCTGGATCTCCCTGGAGACCAGAGAACACAGAAAGATGGATCTATGTTTCCACAACTCTCTCACTCATTAGGAGTCATCCATCACTCTTTATAGGCACTGAGCCATGCTGGGAGCTCTATTCATATTGAATGAGCAGAAACATATGGAGTGTAATGATAACTTATAACTAGATGAATGTGTTTGGTGTGTTACATGATGATGATGATGATTTTAAGGCTGATATCTAACCTTGGCTCCCTCTTTGCCTGTGACTCCTGGTAGACCTTGCTCTCCAGGAGGTCCTGGGGCACCCGGATGTCCCCTGTCACCGGTGGGGCCAGTCTCCCCAGTCTTTCCCTGGAATAGAAGATAAGTGAGACAGCTTTATTAGATCAGATCAAACATTCATAAATGTTGCATAGCCTCATGGAACTGAGCGAAGACCATGAAGCAGGAAGGCATTGTTCATCCAAGCCTGTGTGATCGATTTACCTGTGGGCCAACCACTCCAGCAGGCCCAGGGGATCCAGTCTTTCCTTGAAATCCCTGTATGAAAAAACTTGAATGTGAAAATGGTTTTTCCCACTGCTTATAAAACAACTAATTACTATTCAGTGTATCTAGTTATGGAAATTAATTTAAAGCCCAAGATGGGCCCTGTCCCAAATGCTGTCCTCATGATGTGATGCTATATAAAATGTCAGGTAGTAGTTCACTGTGAAGTCTGCACTAGCTCAGTACTAAGGGCAAATAGTGGCTCTTAAAAGCACTTGTGAGTAATTAAATGACAAGTGGGATATACAGTGGTCTTATTTGTCATTTAACAATTCAGAAGGCTGCTCACAAGTCACATCAAATATGTCACCAGTCCACATCAATCGCACCATTTGGGACATGACCGTGGTTCCCTTTCTCTGAAACGATTCTTTTTAAAATATGGACTGACTCACCGGCTCTCCCCGTTGGCCTGGATGACCTGGCAACCCGTCCTTTCCTGGAGGGCCCTTAAAATAAAGGACAAAAAACGTTAGAGATATCCTTTCATTCTCTCAAAGAGTTTTCTTTCTTTGCTGGTCACTTACGTTTGGTCCCTTTGGCCCGGCTTCTCCATCGCGTCCTTGTGGACCTTGAGGGCCCTGAAGCAGAGCGGAAGAAACACTGTTATTCATTTATCTCCAGCAATGAAAAGAAATGTGAAATCTCACATTAGTCTGGTAGATTGACCGTGTAATATGAGGAGAATTGTAATAGATAACACATACTCTCTCTCCTGCGGCACCTTGTGGGCCGTCATGACCAGCAGAGCCCTGTGCATAAGACAAAGAAAGGGACGTCACATGAATTTAAACACATACAGGACCACCTTTTAAAAGGGAATCTATAGGATGGATTTCTTACCTTGGCTCCAGGGTTTCCTGTCGGTCCTCTTGCTCCTCTTCCCCCACGTGCACCCTACAAACAACAGGAAGCAAACACATAAATATGCTTATAAAGGTTGCATGATTAAAACAATAGTTCAATCAATTATTATCGACTGCTCCTTTAATAATCCCTGTATGTGTTTTTAGTAATACAACAGAGGTTTTACTTTTCATGAGCATGCTTAAGACTTACATTTGGACCTCTTTCACCATCGGGACCAGCCTGTCCAGCAGAACCCTGTAAAGAACGCATATAAAAATGAGCACACAGACATTGATGCAGCAGGGTATGTGTAGTTCATCGACTGCTGTACCATTGCACCGGCCTCTTACCCTCTTTCCTTTCTCTCCTTCCACCCCAGCTGTTCCAGGAAAGCCCACTGATCCCTGTGGACCGACACGAAGGTTAATCAATTACCACTTTCCATTCATTAATCAACCTCTACATTTAATTAACCACAAATTAACCTCTGAAGTCCCATGACCATAAATAAGCTAAATAATAATTGTAGTTTCAGATAAGCTATTAATAAAACAGCCTCTAAATGGCCATTAATCATCCTCAGTAAAAATTTAATCTTGAAATATTAATATACCATGACTGAGACCTGCGGCTTTCACATTTCAGTAAAAAAAAATAAGGTTATTGTTATTTCAATGATAATGCTTTACCTTTGAGCCTTGCCTGCCGGGATATCCAGGCAATCCTGGAACACCAAGTTTGCCCTACACATAGAATGAGAAGTCAGGAAAATAAAGGCAAACAAAAATAATTGGAATATAAACAACACCCAGTAGAAGCAGCAATTACCTTTTCTCCAGCAATGCCCGCAGATCCAGCCTCTCCCAGGGATCCTGACTGACCCTTCGGCCCTTCTGGTCCATCTTCACCATGACTTCCAGGAGCCCCATTATCACCCTGAGCATACACACACACAAGTTATGCCATCAAAAAAATATACATTTTCTGAAGAAACTGAGAGTGGTTACCACCGTTTTTTGTATGTTTTGGGCAAAATACCTTTCCTCAACAAGCTGCATGATATGAAGTGTAACTTGCATCAATAGCACAAACAGTGTGGGACCACTCAAACATTGTAGTTTAATACTTAATCCAATGAAACACTTTTAAGCAATAATGATGTTTGTTTTAACAAGCACATTATTCGGGCTGAATAGAAAGACTCACTCTATCTCCTTTGATGCCCATGTCACCCTTGGCCCCTGGGAAACCTTCTTCACCCTGTAACAGACAAAAAAAATTAAATTAGCCAGAATTACCTTGAAAATCCTCCACATACATGTGCAGCATGAAAACATAGATGCACTCAAGAAGCCGAGAAAATCATACATCCTGTGATAAAGCACTGTGCTTTATCACTACATTGATAACTGAATGCGTCTTCTCTTCCCTTGCCTTTGTAATGCGAAAACAAGTGGATTATGTTTTTTCTCTTACCTTCTCCCCCTTGCTACCCTTCAGTCCCCTCACCCCATCTGCGCCCTGTTAGAAAATAACAAAATATATCAGTGTGTGGCGCAGGGATCTATGCACATCTCCAAACCTCAGGTAGGAAACATTCACCTGAAAGGCAGAATCTCAGATACGATGTCTTGACATGAATACCAGCACTGACTGTTTAAAGTAATAAAAGTCACGGCTTACAAAATACTGGAGGTCAGACATACAGCAACAGATAAAAACACCATTGTGACAGAATATAGACACAGACGATAATAATCTGGATGACACCTTCAGAGTAGATTTATGTGGTATCGGGATAAATCCATTTTTTATTCCTTGACCACATGCTGAAGGCATCACACACTTCCATACAAACAAGCCCAGACAGGTTTCGTTTTCCTCCTTGTTGTGTTTTCGACTGTCCATCATGAGTGCTGCGCACTGTCAAGGTTTTTACCAGGGAGAATTAAACTGGTCTACCTGAGCCAGTTGTCTGCCATTCACCCACAGTCGGACTGTCAATCAAAAGTCTGCCTTCCTAGACAGGATGTCTTTGAGTGGCTTTGGAGCTAACCATACAAGCTGCGATCTCAAAACTGCTCACCTTGACTCCACGGGGCCCGGGATATCCAACCGGCCCTTGTGCTCCTGATAAACCCTGAATAGAAAAAGAGACAATGTTAGTTTTGTGAAGGGGAAAGCACTGCACTAACAATACCCTGTCATTTATCTACGATTAAACTATTGCGGCCCATATGTGCCAACGACAATGCGTTAGCATGAATGCTTGGTGATGATGACGCAGCACAAGGGTACATCGGTGAAAACGAAACAATGACTGCACAATGGCGATGGCTTGATTCAGGTGTGCAATTACTGCGATAGCGCACACATAAAAGCACGCCGTTATGCTTTGTGAACGGTGATAATTTAGCGACTGCAGCTGGAGCGCCTGTAACAAAAGGCTTCAGAAAGAGTGGACCATGAACAGGGCAGCGCTTTTCTGCGTGGTGGCGCATTTAGACTCTTGGCTCTCTCTGTTTCCTCTTCAAATTTTCACCGCTTATTCAGGTCAGTGGAGCAGCAATGTGTGTGTGTGTGATTGTAACCCACCTGGTGTCCTTTCTCCCCAGGGGGTCCCTCTCTTCCAGGATGACCCTGTGATTTGAACAGGATAACCAGGTGTTAGCATGACAGGAGGCTGATTAGGGGACATCCTGTTTCTGTGAGAGAGCTAATGAGCCAACACAAAGGCCAGGCTTGAACTAAGGACTCTGCATCATCACTTTTTCAGCATTCTGTGCATGAGAATTATGCTGTGAAGATTTATTGGGAACATCTGTGATAGAGGATGAAATTCGCCAATGTGTATGTGTCTGTATGTATGCGCCATAGTGTCCCCTGCTGGCTGGTAGAGATGCTTAATAAATAAAACAAATTAAAATTCAGTCCTGTGGTAGTTTTGGAGAACAGTACTTACTGGAGGACCATCAATCCCAGGAAGGCCCTGCATTCCAGGTTTGCCCTCAGGGCCCTGTTTGAAAAAAAGCACAAATAAACACACACACACTCAATATTAAATCCTCTGAACCAAACCACAAACCAAAACCTTCTTTATACCCAGCATGCCCAGCTTGTTAACTGCAATCAATATCCATAATGTGCTTAGGTATATTTGAAAGAAGATGTGTGTGCGTGTGTATGTGAGGTTTCGCTATTGATAATCTGTCTAGATTCATATGGAAATCTGAATAAAAGCACATGCACTAAGATGCTCACTCGCCCACACTCAACGCTTCTTTTCAAACGCTCATCTACTAAGGGGTCAAAGGTCAGTGAGTTATTTCGGTTAAAACATAAATAAAGCAAGACTTGTAGAGTTTACCTTCTCTCCTGGCAGGCCTATAGGCCCCTGTGGACCAGGGAAGCCCTGAAAAACAACATAATTCTTCATTCAAAGGCAAAAGTGTTTGTTTCGTTCTAACAGTGCACATTTGCATTGCTGGCATGGCTTCAATACACTGTACTGGAGTGTAGATAGATGTATACCTGTATGCCTGGGTTCCCCTGTTGACCTGGAGGTCCAGGCTCACCAGGTGGTCCCTGTAAAATGGTGAAAAAGTAATCAGTTTTGTGTGGTAATGATAATAATATTTTTAAAGACATTAGTTTAGGATATCCTCAAGTCCTCCTGGGAAGTTTCTACTTGGTTTGGAAGTCTAATTATGACTGTGTGCGTTCAAGTTATTTAAAATGGACATTGTGGGTTATTTAATTTTTATTTCTTTATTTAACTTTTTTAAACAGATTTGTTTGTCTAGTACCACAAAATCAAGGGCAAAGGATCTGCATTATTGGTGCTTTAAAGGGATAGTTCACCCAAAAATTAAAATTCTGTCATTAATTACTCGCCCTCATGTCGTTCTAAACCTATAAGGCCTCCGTTCATCTTCGGAACACAAATTAAAATATTTTTGATGAATTCTGAGAGCTCTCTGACCCTCCCATAGATAGCAATGTAATTACCACGATCAAGGTCCAGAAACGTACAAAAAGTATTCTCGTAGCTTCATAAAATGACGGTTGAACGCCTGATGTCACATGGATTATTTTACCGATGTCCTTGCTACGTTTCTGGACCTTGATCATGGTAATTACATTGCTGTCTATGGGAGGGTCAGACAGCTCTCAGAATTCATCAAACATATCTTAATTTGTGTTCCGAAGATGAATGGAGGTCTTACAGGTTTGGAACAACGTGAGGGTGAGTAATGACATAATTTTCATTTTTTGGTGAACTAACCCTTTAAGTATGCGTTTTAGCTCTCTTCAGCTGTCACTGAGAACCATGGGAAATATATTTTTGTTGTGCTGGGTTGTTGCCTCATAAACTGGCTAAATGAGTAGTATTTTCTGTCGAGCTTTATAGCTGATTTTAATCAACAGTACACAAAGTGCATACAAACTAAAATCTAAACCAACAGGACAAAAACAACCCACAGTTTGTAAAAACAACAAATAATGTGTTGAGAGTTACACACTGAGAATGAGAGACTTACCCATATGGGTAATGGCCAACATATCCATATACTTTCATTGTAAGTGCATTTCTGTCAACACATTTCTTTGTAAAAACTGTGGAATGAGTCCAAAGCCACAGATGTTGTCAATAAAGCTTAAGTTGTTTTTAACTCCTTTAATTATAACCAATATCAATTAGCTTCTCTTGTGATTCTTTAATTGACACACCCCCAACTCTGAAAAAAGAAATATATTTCTTATATATATATTTCAGAAAATCTCGAGTTCCCACTAGTGATTAAACCATTGTGGTGTCATTCATTTGCAATCATCTTGTAAATACTATCATTACAACATGACTTAACGGCAGCATATGTCAATTGAAAGGATGCAGGCTTGAAGTTACTTTGCTCTGCAGTTCTCAAGGGATCTGTTACCCTGTCTGCCAGTGCAACAGACCCTCTATGGGTTATTTCTCAATAGTTATATCTGACATGTTGTTTTGAACAACCATACTAAACCTCCCAATGCTCTATTCTGGGATTTATTAGTCTGCAGACATTGTGTAATACATGCATGGGAAACTTCATAATAGACCCACCAAGTTGCCCTTTGCCCCTTGAACACCATCGACGCCTTGAATTCCCTAAAAGCAAAACACAATGTTTTGTTTCACAAAAACGCAGCAGTTAAACATTTCAGTAACACCACAGCACCTCTATTCATGTTGTGCATGAAAACTAGCCATTATGTAAATATGATGGATGGGCAATTGTCTTACCTGCTGCCCAAGTGAGCCAGGTGGCCCTCTTGGCCCCACAAGTCCTCTTAGCCCCTGTACAGAAAAACAATCAGAAACTCCTATTAACGTTATGAAGGTCAAGTGTGTTAATGATCGAACAGTATATCACTAAAGATTACAGCTGGTTTATGCACATCTGTGCTAATGTGTATGCGAACATGTGTGTAAACCTCCTCTTTCCTCTAGTGTGTGTGTGTGTGTGTGTGCGTGTGTGTTTTGTTTTTGTCAGTCTTGGTCTTTGTACACCGGCCAAGCCACCTGTTCCAGAGCCACATCTGTGATCTTGGCAAATATCGGAAGGACTAGCCGAGCTAAGACTGCTCTATGCGGATACATGAGCACTGAGCGCCCGGTGATCGCCTGGAGCTCCGAAATTGGCATAGCAAATTTTCAAATAGGTGCTATCTTTATAAATAAACCACAGATTTGAGTTTTAAACAATTACATTCTCGCCTGAAATACTCTTAAAACTACACTTCATGACACAATAATAATAATATTTAGAAAATTACGCGTGTTTTTGGGCAATGACGTTTCATAAGTCCACAAGAACGCATATTGAGAAACGGCTATTGTCTGTGTGAAAATATAAAATTATAAAATACAGGGTTATATTTTTTTGTGTTTGCGCACTCTGATGTAAATAAGCCCAACACTCATGGACAGCAAAGTGGAACGAGGGAAGGGTGCTTTATCCCCTTGTATCACGCAAAAGTGACGATTCTAGTCAACCAATCAACGTTCTGCAGTGAGTTTAGCTCCACCCTTTTGGTACCCTTTGCTGTGGTAGGTACCCCAATGGAAGGGTACCAAAAAAGTGGTGCGGTACGGTTTGCTATTTTGGTACCATTCACAACTTCTGACAGTGGTAACGGAAATAATTGCGTACTGTACTGTACTGTACCGAACCATATCGCTCAGTGGAAACGAGCCATTAGAGCTTCTCTGTTAAAAAGACATTAATGTTAATGTTAATTTTACAATCTGACAACCATGCGCACACACTTGCTCTTTTTTGTTTGTTTTTACCAGTTTTCATAATGTAGACAGATAATACTTTATATATTAAATAGCCTTCAGTAAATCAGTACACTAGATGAGGTAAAATAAACCATGCAAGTCGACATTCTATTTCTATTGATTTGTGTTTATTGATCAAAGTGCAATGCCTGAAATGTAACAACAAATTCATCAACAATATTGCAATTATACTGTATAAATATATATATATATATATATATATATATATATATATATATATATATATATATATATATATATATATATATATATTCCATTAGAAAGTGTGACTGAGTTTTCATTGACTAAAACTAGACTAAAATTATCAGACATTTAGTCGACTAAAACTTGACTAAATAAAAACAGGACAAGGTTGACTAAATAAGATAATAACTAAAAAGCACATTTTACACAGGACTAAGACTAAGACTAAGTCTAAATTAAAAATGGCTGACAAAATTAACACCAGTACAGAAGTTTCGAGAACATTAAGGAAGGCTTGCCTACTCACTAGTCCATTTTCATTGTGTTTATAACCATGAACTATTCTAACTCACACTATATTAGTTTTATATAGGCTTATATAAGTTGTGTTAAATTGTGACGATTATCTTGATTAACAAAATGTGTAGGACTCATTAACTTTGGTTGGTCACAGAGCTTATGTTTTGCAATAATCCAAAAGCCAGTGGAAAAATCTTACTGGCTTTTTGTCGATGGTTGCTAAAAGCCTCTTTTGTGGTTGGTTGCTAGGGCATTGCTATGCAGTTGCTAAGGAGTTTATTGCCTCTTGCAATTTAAAATGAGATATGTACTGAGGTTTAATATTTAGCATTAGGGTGGTTGTTCAAACCCCTAACATAAGTATGAGCAATAGTAGTAATGACTGCCTGATTATCATAGGTTAAAGTCAGATGTGTAAACACAGGGAAGAAACTCGAATCACAGAGAAAGCTGATATAAATGGTGGAATACAGCCACAGCCCTTATTATTGTGCATGGCCTGTCCTATTGGGACTATATGGTGAATCACCTTTGCTCCTGTCTCTCCGGGAGCCCCTCGACCTCCATCTGCCCCTGATCGACCCTGCAAGGTGAAACACAGAATACCACTTCGTCATCATATTCTATGCACCACTGTGCTCTGCTTTATGCAATATTCATGAAGCAAAAAACACAGCACATCAATATAGAAACTGTTATCGCCCAATTCATATTCATGATGAGGTTAATTAAATGGATCAGACTTGAACTTTGATCACTCATCCATTGATTTTCTTACACTGCGTGTTAGATGTTCAGTCTTACCCTTTTCCCTGGTTTCCCATTAAGACCAGCAGGACCTGGCAACCCACGTGGGCCCTTAAAAGAGAGGAATGAGAAACAGAGAGAGAGCTAATTTTAAAAGCTATTGAATGTAAAGAGGGAATATCAAAAGAAAATGTCCTCACCGCATGCCCAGGCTCTCCACTGTCCCCTTTTAGTCCACTGGGACCTGGTAGACCCTGGAACAAACACATTTTCAAAGACAGAAAGTATCCATTCAACCCCCCAAAAAAACAATCTGAATTTAAAGTAGATCGCATAGGCTGTGCTAAAAAAAAAAAGTCTGAAATAAACTGGAAAAGTAATGACAAAGATTTCTCACCACTGGGCCCGGCCTCCCGGTGAGACCTAATGGACCTGGAGGGCCCTTCAATGATAGCTAGAAGCAAAGAAAAATAAAAACAAACAGAAAAAGTCACATTTCTCCTCATCCTTAACCTACATTTGTACTTGAATTTGCAACATTACTATGTTGTCCAAAATGACCTATTCTCAAATCGGGCTTTAAGCTGAGCATAGATTATAAACAACTGCTTATTTGTATAATATACTGTAAAACTGTTCAGTATTACACAACATCTAGATTTTTACAATTTCTGAAGATGCCGTGTGAAATGCTAGGGTGTTGTAGGTTGCTGCCAAGAGATCTGAGCAGTTTTTATGTGTAAGTGCACAGTAAAAAAAAAAATAATAATACAAATAACAATAATAAAATGAAAGAGTTGTTTTCCTTAGTAAGCTATTTCTTAAAAAATTTAAAAATATATATTTAAACTTAATGAAGTCAGGTAAATTCAGTCATACTAAATTATATTTTAAATGTAAAACAACTACGCCGGTGGGCCAGTGGCACAATGGATAACGCGTCTGTCTACAGATCAGAAGATTCTAGGTTTGACTCCTGGCTGGCTCGCTCTGTGTTTATTTTACAACAACTGGGACAGTCGTGGCTTAATGGATCGAGAGTCGGACTTGTAACCTGAAAGTCGTGGGTTTGAGTCTCAGGTCCAGCAGGGATTGTAGGTGGGGGGTGCCACACCCTCAATACCACGACTGAGGTGAGACCCTTGAGCAAGGCACCGAACCCCCAACTGCTCCCCGGGCACCGCAGCAATATGGCTGCCCACTGCTCCGGGTGCATGTTCATGGTGTGTGTGTGTGTGTGTTCACTACTGTGTGTGTGCACTTGGATGGGTTAAATGCAGAGCACAAATTTAAATGCAGAGCACAAATTCCGAGTATGGGACACCATACTCGGCCACACGTTACTTTCACTTTTTCACTTTCAAATGTTTTTGGTGAAATAAAAACTTTTATTCAGCAAAGGCACATCGATTTATCAAACGTGACAGTAAAGACACATATTTTTAACTTTCTATTTAGCAAAGGCTGTCACAGTTTTCCCCCCTAAAAAAATTAAGTAGCACAACTGTAATCAGCATATTAGAATGATTTTTGATGGATCGTGTGACATTGAAGACTAAAATAATGGCTGCTGAAAATTCAGCTTTATCATCACAGGAATAAATTACATTAATAGTTATAGAATATATAATAGAAAATAATTATTTTACATTGTATTAATATTTTACAATAATATAATAATATTCAAAATATGTACTTTTTAACTCTATTTTACTGTATATTTGATTAAATTGCAATCTCTGGTGAACTAAGAGACATGAACAATATGAAACCATATGGAGCACATTTTTAAGTAAACCAAAATGGTATGGCTTTGCATGTTTATTGGATTCTTCCACTTATTTTATCTTCTGCATAGCCAAATATCACAAATCTTAAAAACTAACAGACACCTCTCCTCACAAAGCAATATACTGTAATTTCTAGGTATCATTCATGTCTGTATCAGACATACAATACAGGATGCGTTACAGTGCGTCCCAAATTGTAATATTTTTGGTGTTAGTGGTTTGTTCAAATCATTCGTTGTCTTACTTTGGTCTGTTGTAAGATGGCTTGAGCCTGCGCCTCTTGAGCCGATATCACAGGCCCCTTCTGAGAGTCTCCTCCATACTGGAACTGAGTGCAAAAAGAGAGATTACTAACTATATAATGTATGTACATTAAGTAACTCACTATTAAAGATATACATTTTAACATGTTAAGCACACAATTAAATGGAAATATACTGGATGCCATTAAGTCTGATAATATCACAGCTCCACCATGTGGCCAAAACATGCTACTGAGGCCCAGTCCTCATGTTGTGTGAGGTAAAATTTTTATTATTTTTCTCTGGCAAACAACTCCAGCTAATGAGATCCAAGTGGTTTAAATGTGTTAGTGAAGGAATGACTTCATCTTACGGGTAACATAAGCAAAGTGCCTGGAGGACCCGGTATCCCATCAGCGCCAGGCAGCCCTGGACGTCCCTCAGGACCCTTGCGGGAGGAGAGACAATTAGATCAATTCATTGATGGAGCATTTCTGTACATGCATGTGTGCATAATTGTGTCAGCAGTACTTACTTGACAAAACAATTGCATGAGCAACAGCGTTCTTCGTTTATTCCCTATCCATTGGCTTGTTTCCTAAATGCAGTCTAACACCTAATTATTTTTTTGTGTGTTGCCTCAAATCCTACTGTACTCATTTGCCTGGTGTAAAACATTTAAGAGCTCAGCTAATCAAAGCTGTCAGTCAACAGTCCTCTCTCAACAACAACACAGAACTTCAACCTTCGAAAGAAAAGATAAAACCTGCGGCTAGAACATGTTCCTTTGCCTTTCACTCAATGTTATAAGACCTCTATAGATATATGAGGTCAAAAAGAGCTTACATCTCAAGCGAATGCGTTTTCTCAGCCTAGTCTGATGTTTTTACTAAAACTCAACTCTTTTGTGAAGCTGACACCTCAGAGTAGTTGATTCACAACCGGCCAGAGGCGCTAAACTGAGCGCAGACAAAAGAATGATCTATCTTCATCCCTACTGTCAGAGGTAAATGATGAATTCAGGCTCTTTACTGCAGTTGGAAGTCTGCAGTCTGTCTTACCCTGCTAAGGGATCGTGTGTAAAGAGTGAGTCACGCTACAAGAACAGACACACTTTCCAGCGCAAATTAGGTCAAACTATCAGATGAGTCATGGCTCCCCTGATGCCTATGGTCTCGGTAGAGGTTGGTGGTCCCTTCGAGGGGCTCTGAGTCATTGGTGAGGTTTGTTCCATCTGCACACGAGTCCAATCATCCCCCCGATCCCCAGGATGTGTCCTGTGTGTCCTAGACTTGAGGTTCAAGCCGGGTCATGTGGGTCTGCTGATTATGAGGACATGAGTAAATTATAAGGCAATTCTTATTCTGGAAGTTTACTTATCCTTTAAGTATGTAAATGTGACTCTGCACTTGCAATATGCTGGCCAAGCATTTGCAACAGCATTTGTGTACTTGCATAGAATATGTCTCTGGCCTCACTGTGCTTCAGATCTCCAGGTCACTGTTGACTAATTAAAATGTTAACGCAATTAACAGGTGCAGGTTATAGAAACGTTCTGGTTACAAAGCCGGCTTGAAGGCATAAATACTGCTGAGCTGGTGAGTGTGGGGTAGGTGGTTTTATCTACAACAGGAGATGTCAGCACAAAAAGCCGTATGTTCTGGTGGCAGCCATAACAGCATGAAAGGAAGGGTGAGCAAACTTGGCACACTGATATTGGCATCTGAGTTTTACCTCAGCAGAAGCTTGATTCATACAGCAAAACCTACATCTATCAGAGCTGTCGGAGGTAAAATGTATCAAAAAGATGCATGAAAATGGATTTATGTTAGACACAGTCCTGTTTTTCATTCTGTCTTGGTGCACATCTTTTAGTTTCAATCTGTAAAGCGTGCCAAGTCAACAAATAAAAGTGTAACTCTATGCCAAAGCCTGAATGAAATATGCGCATGATTTTTTTCAGGATGCTTAAATGAACAGAGAATTCAAAAGAACAACACTTATTTGAAATAGAAATCTTTTGCAACATTACAAATATATTTACTGTTATTTTCACTGTTATTTATTGTATCCTTGCAGAATACATTTATTAATTTCTTTATAAAATAAAACCTTACTGGCCCCAAATCTCTGGTAATTTATTTGATGTAATATTACATATATTATACTGTATTATTTAATCAGATTAAATTCATCAATGTATTTGTATTAATTTGTATAAGTCCATCAGTGGAGAATGAGATTTTTTTATGTTACCGCTGAGCTAAACAGCCCTACATTATTATTATTATTATTATTATTTAAATATTCATATTTGAATATTTTATTGTTGCAGTCTAATGATTTAGCTATTATTGTGTTAAAAAGCAGAAATAAAAAAGAAAACGACTGAAATAATTTATGCACATCTGCAGTTGTACATTTAAACAACTAAAATATTTGTCATAAATAAAAAAAAATATATATATATATATATATATATAAAATCAAATATTTTAGTTGTTTAAATATATATAAATATATTGGTCAAATCCTAGAACTAACAGTGTGTTAGTGCTTTTGCACAAAGCAAAAAGCTATTTTATTCCTATGCATGCCTGTGTTGTTTATTGGCTGGCTCAGATGAGTGCTCTGGGAGCCGAGCCCAGAAGCCAGAACAGTAAAAAGTGCAAACAGATAAATGTAAATGTGGAATTGAGAAGCCAAGGCGGCTCAGCCACTCAAAGAAAGTTTTGACAGGGCTCTTGCAAAAAGAGGAAGACATTTTTGGCTGAGCTGGAACAAATTATGTCTTCATAAAGTTCTGCAATTTTCTGGAAAATGGCTAGGCTGGTTGCTCAAAGTTCATTGGGAAAACAAGTGTTTCTTTCTCTGTTCGCACATGATACTTAAATGCTAAAACATGAGGAGTCTGGAGAATAATACAAGACGAACTGAATGGACCAACACATCTGGGCGGAAAAACAAGATGTCATATAGATGTAAAATAAATCAGACGGAAATAACAAGAAAAGGAGACAATAAGCTTTTTTGACTACATGGGGAGCCAAGCTCACAGAGAAATCACTAACCTCTTCAGGAGCCAGACTCTGGGTACTGTAGGGCAAAGGGCTGTCACAATCAGGAATGTAATCTTGGCAGTAGTCAGCCGCAGCCTGAGGATCATCCACGAGCAAGAGCTGCTGGATCTCACCCTGTAACACACATATAACGCTCTCATTGATTCGGTAATATTCACGGTACTGGTGAAATTCCAGTGATCAAAGAGAAATAAAACCCCGTTTAACACTGTATAACAGGAGGACATGCTGATGTAAAGCAGAAAAGTAATTTAAGATGAAAAACAACTTGTGTAACACTGATGAAATCGGGGTAAAACTTGTGGAATGTATTTTATTTGCATATCGCATTAGGCATTTTGGAAGCACACTGCAAATAAGAGTTTATGCTACAGGAAAAACAATCTTCATTTCAAAAATATATTTTCTAACTTTTTAAAATGGTTCAATAAATTGTTCATAAATTCACTCCTATATTGCTATTACAGAGCTGCCATTTCAGCTAAAAGACTATGTATTTGACCGCAGTCCCTGTTACTAAACTTGTGCCAGCATCAGCCCACTGAGAAATTAAGGCATTGTAATGGGCAGCAATGTAGTGCTAGTCCCAGCGCATAGGATGCACGTTTTTAAAATCACTACACATCTCTGAGCATGTTGCACCCAAGATTGAAATCAGGCCCTAACCAAGGGGTTAGTACTATAACCACAATAGACACTGAAGTGGACAGCACAGCACTCTCATCAATTCCAACACAATGCTTATGTTTTAATGGTGAAATAGTGCAAGGTAAGACAGAATATATCCTGTAACATGATGTATTTTTGTCAAATTTTACTATTTTGAATGGAAAATAGCCTACATCATGCATGATTAATGTAATTCATAATTAAATGTGATTATGGAGTCATTTTTAACATATTAAGTACGTGATTAAGAGTGATTGTGTGCACATGTTTTAAAATAAAAATATTATTTGCAAGTAGATCAAATGCAATATTTTAAATATATATAGTTCTATCTCTATTTTTTTAATTTATTCTCGATATCTCTTTATAAAGCAAATAAAAATATGAAATCACTTTATCCTCTTAATCCACTAATTCCTTTAAATAAAAATTACAATCTGGCTGCAAAAGTAGCTTCAAAAATGTATTCTGACAGAATAAAATGTTTCGCAAGCAGTATCTATACTACATTTTCAAATAATTATATTAAAGATTGTATATCATAGGATGCTTGGTATAAAATGGATCTCTAAAATCTGGACAGATATATGTAAATAACAAAATGTATGTAAAATAGCTGTACACACATACACACAAACACCTGTAAGCATGGTTGCTATGTGATCAATACATTATAAATGTTAAGAAATGCTCAAATCCATACTGAATACTTAACTGAAAATATCTTTAAGACCTTTTGCATATTTGAAATCAAGATGCAATACCATAGGAGAGAACGCCCCCTACTGAAAGGCAGCCATAATTCCATTAAATTATTTAGACTTAGCCTTATTTTCAGACATTAGCACAGAGCACATATATATTCACAATAAAGAGACCTTTCATCATAAGGCCAATGGAGAATCTTTGACTCATCGCTGGGGTCTTGCCAGTACATCAGTGGGAGGAAGAACAAGAGGTCAAAAACGGGCAATACCCAAGATACCACACAAACTCATTCAGCAGTAGAGTACAGCCAAACCACAACATTTCTCACACTAATCTGACATATGTTGAATCTTAAAAAGAAAATAAATCAGTATACCTAGCCAACTAATTACACTCCACTGATCCTACGAGTGTTCGCTTCTCTCTATCTGTCGGCTGAAATTAGAGCCTCATGCTTGACAACTCAAGGACTCAACAAGCCTGTTGACACAGTTTTGTTTCTGCATGCTTTTAACCAACCATTTAGTATCAGTGGACCAGACACGAACTGGATATTATGGATCTTATCTGCATCTTCTAAGCAGAAACTCAAACTGACAAAAAAAAATCCTAGAAGTAACTAAAGATGTGAATAATCTGCTGTTTGTTTTGTGTGTGTGTGTTCTAGTTCAGTTCTCTAGTTCAGAAAGACTTCCTCAGCTCTTTAGCAATTTGTAAGAATCTGGCAGCAATAGACGCATTAGCCCTGATCATAGTCCCCAGGCTCCCGAGCAGCTCTCCCACGCTGAGAGATTTGGACCGGAATATAAACCCTCTGGATTCCCCCTCAATCCAGGGCCTGGGAACTGGCCTCAGATTGGGTCGAATTTACACATCCCCCAGTACCAGCCTCACCCAGATCACACTGACACAGATGCAGCTCTTTTGGAAGCATTAGACTGAGTGGGGAGTGGATCCCGAGAGAAAGACAAATGAGGGGAATTTGTCATCATTCATCATCACGGTTGTTCTGAAAAGCAGAACGAAGGAGGATGAGATTTGTTTCTTTTCTTTTAAAGCACAAGACGTGGAACAGACTCTTAATCATGCCACAAATAGAGATGATATGCCGCACTAAACTAAACTAAAGGCCTTGCTGCCCAGACAGTCAATGACTTGACACATTTATTTAAGGAAACTTTCTTCAAGGCACCATTATCATGTCATGTCTGGTTAGCTTGTGAATATTTTAGTCATTAAAGTGAATATTTAATCACTAAAATATTGTTTCCTGGTAGGAACTGAACTGAATCATCAATTTGGAAAAAAATGTACCTAATGAAAATTAAATTGATAAAAATAAAAAAAAGAAGAAGAACAACAAATAAGCTTTCCATTGATGTATGGTTTGTTAGAATAGGACAATATTTAGCCGAGACACAACTATTTGAAAATCTGGAAATTGAGGGTGCAAAAAAAATTTTAAATATTGAGAAAATCGCCTTTAAAGTTGTCCAAATGAAGTTCTTAGCTATGCATATTACTAATCAAAAATTAAGTAAGTGATATATTTAGGAAATTGTAGGAAATTTACAAAATATCTTTATGGAACATGATCTTTACTTAATATCCTAATAATTTTTGGCATAAAAGAAAAATCGATAATTTTGACCCATACAATGTATTGTTAGGTATTGTTACAAATATACCTGTGCTACTTATGGCTGGTTTTGTGCTCCAGGGTCACATATTTAAAATACATTTATTTCATACTAAGTATCGTTCAGATCTATTAACATATTAACTGACATATTGCTCAAGACTTGCTGATATAAAAATTATAATTAAACATTATTTGGAGTACTACTTGTGCACAATGCACATTTCTTAATATTAAGACTAAAATGTTTTTTAATATCACTATTGATGAGGATTGTATGATTTTTGAATAATATCGCTCTTTAAATGCAATATATTTTAAGTGTTCCTGGAGTATACTTTCAATAGTTCCACTTTAGCACCATCAAATATACTTCAGTATATCTTTAGTTGGACCTCAGCACTACATCTGCACAATTAAAGTGCATTAAGCACAAAATTAGTTGTTCCAATTTAGCAGGCTTTAAGTATAACAGTTTTGTATACCAACAGTACAAATAAATGTATTTCAAATACATTTTAGTATATTTATTTTTCACTAGGGTAAAGATGTTATTTTTTATTAACCACCAGATTGTGAGATATTACAAACAGTGAATGAAATATCTATGCTGCCATTAAAAATCGACCAGATGGAGACATCTTAGTAGACAGGATATCACGTAAACCTTGGGATTGGGATGCACCCTGATGACTCTTTGCCTGAAAAGACAGAATTTTTAAGGTTTTAGACACAATCATATTGAAGGAAGCTCCACAGATAGTTTCTTGCTCTTAACAGGATTTGTTAACAATGGGACATTGTTTTGGGCTGGATTTTGGGACATATGGAATGGAATGGGATGGGTATTGTGTGTCTCTGGGTGGCATTTCATCTAAAACAGCTAAAGGCAAACAGCGGTATTGGATGGGTGGAGTTGGGGAGGTAAAGTTATTGCAGTGGGCGGCTGGAGAACATGTGGCGTGTGCTACATTGGACCTAAAGAAACATCTGGGTTTTTTTTGGTGGAAGCAGAGAGTGGACCCTTAAATGTCCATTAGACTGACAATAGCATTCCCTCTGAGTATTTCTGTGGCGTACAATATATAAAACCACACTGGCCAGAATGTTAGTTGACGTCCTGAGGGTGGACAATATTTAGCCGAGACACAACTATTTGAAAATCTGGAAATTGAGGGTGCAAAAAAAATTTTAAATATTGAGAAAATCGCCTTTAAAGTTGTCCAAATGAAGTTCTTAGCTATGCATATTACTAATCAAAAATTAAGTAAGTGATATATTTAGGAAATTGTAGGAAATTTACAAAATATCTTTATGGAACATGATCTTTACTTAATATCCTAATAATTTTTGGCATAAAAGAAAAATCGATAATTTTGACCCATACAATGTATTGTTAGGTATTGTTACAAATATACCTGTGCTACTTATGGCTGGTTTTGTGCTCCAGGGTCACATATTTAAAATACATTTATTTCATACTAAGTATCGTTCAGATCTATTAACATATTAACTGACATATTGCTCAAGACTTGCTGATATAAAAATTATAATTAAACATTATTTGGAGTACTACTTGTGCACAATGCACATTTCTTAATATTAAGACTAAAATGTTTTTTAATATCACTATTGATGAGGATTGTATGATTTTTGAATAATATCGCTCTTTAAATGCAATATATTTTAAGTGTTCCTGGAGTATACTTTCAATAGTTCCACTTTAGCACCATCAAATATACTTCAGTATATCTTTAGTTGGACCTCAGCACTACATCTGCACAATTAAAGTGCATTAAGCACAAAATTAGTTGTTCCAATTTAGCAGGCTTTAAGTATAACAGTTTTGTATACCAACAGTACAAATAAATGTATTTCAAATACATTTTAGTATATTTATTTTTCACTAGGGTAAAGATGTTATTTTTTATTAACCACCAGATTGTGAGATATTACAAACAGTGAATGAAATATCTATGCTGCCATTAAAAATCGACCAGATGGAGACATCTTAGTAGACAGGATATCACGTAAACCTTGGGATTGGGATGCACCCTGATGACTCTTTGCCTGAAAAGACAGAATTTTTAAGGTTTTAGACACAATCATATTGAAGGAAGCTCCACAGATAGTTTCTTGCTCTTAACAGGATTTGTTAACAATGGGACATTGTTTTGGGCTGGATTTTGGGACATATGGAATGGAATGGGATGGGTATTGTGTGTCTCTGGGTGGCATTTCATCTAAAACAGCTAAAGGCAAACAGCGGTATTGGATGGGTGGAGTTGGGGAGGTAAAGTTATTGCAGTGGGCGGCTGGAGAACATGTGGCGTGTGCTACATTGGACCTAAAGAAACATCTGGGTTTTTTTTGGTGGAAGCAGAGAGTGGACCCTTAAATGTCCATTAGACTGACAATAGCATTCCCTCTGAGTATTTCTGTGGCGTACAATATATAAAACCACACTGGCCAGAATGTTAGTTGACGTCCTGAGGGTGCTTTGCAGTGCAACCCCTCCTCGTGCCAGAAGTCCAGCACACTTAAGAATAAGGATACAGCCAAGAGCAGTGATGGGACTTCAACTCTACTCTACATCTAGCCAGAACCATCAAGCACAAGAAACAAGAGATTAGTCATGGAGTTGCAGTGCTTGTTCAAACTTATCAACTTTCTCATCTGAATGTTATATAGTATAAACACCAAAAGAGTCACATAGGCAGATATGAACCCAAACACGCTGCACAATGAAACCAAATACCCAAAATGTATCAAATGTTGGAGCTCAAGAAAACTCCACAATTTTGAAAAGATGCCCTTTGGCTCTTTGCAGTACTGATAATGGACAAGAAGTCAGCGTAGTGGAATAGTTCTTCAAAAAATGACAATTTTGTCATCAATTTCTTACCCTTATGCCTTTCCAAACCTGTTTGACTTTCTTTCTTCTGTGGTACGCAGAAAGATTCATCTTGAATAACGTGCTAGACATTTTTCCATTTAATGACACAAAAGCAATATAAAAATAAAAGCAGTTCCAAACTGATAGCTTTTGGTGTAAAACAGTCTTAAATTTAGGTCCATACACACTGTTTATCTTCCACTATTAACCACTAGCTGTTAACCACTTCAACTGGATTGAATCAATGATTGAATGGGATCTGATTCATGAATTAATCATTCAAGTTTTGAGAACAGGATCGCCCAGAATTTGATTAGTTTTGGAAGAAATCTGACATTGTTAGCTCTTTCTCATTAAATAACAACTCCAGTTTCTGTTGTAGCACGACTTCAAGACTTAGACATTTTGTTTTGTCATTTTGTCACTTTCATTATAAAAGTGAAAAAGTGACGTGACATGTGGCCAAGTATGGTGACCCATACTCGGAATTAGTGCTCTGCATTTACCCATCCAAAGTGCACACACACAGCAGTGAACACACACAAACCGTGAACACACACCCGGAGCAGTGGGCAGCCATTTATGCTGCGGCGCCCGGGGAGCAGTTGGGGGTTCGGTGCCTTGCTCAAGGGCACCTCAGTCGTGGTATTGAAAAACAATGGTGTATGATGTAAACCAGGGGGGCCCAACCCTGGTCCTGGAGATCTACCTTCCTGCAGAGTTTAGCGCCAACCCTGATCAAACACACTTGAACCAACTAATTAGGGTCTGAAGGAGCACTTGATAATTACAGACAGGTGTGTTTGATCAGGGTTGGAACTGAACTCTGCAGGAAGGTAGATCTCCAGAACCAGGGTTGGGCACCCCTGATGTAAAGAAAGTCATACTAGTTTGAAGTGAGGGTGAGTAAAACATAAAATCCCAAACTATCCCTTTAAGGCAGGGGTGGGCAAACTTGGCCCTTCCAGGCCCCTTTCCTTCAGAGGTTAGCTCCAACCCTAATCAAACACACCTGAACCAGCTAATCATTGTCTTCAAGACTACTAGAAGGCTACAGGCAGGTGAGTCATATCAGGGTTGGATCAAATCTCTGCAGGAGAGTGGCCTGGAAGGGCCAAGTTTGCCCATCACTGCTTTAAGGTGTGTTGATGCTTGGAAAAAACAGAACTGAAACACAATGAGCATTCTAATTAAAAGGCTTTGGAAATACACACTCCTCAACAACAGGTTTTATTTTTTTAATTAAATATTTGAGATAGCTCCAAAAATAGACAGAGTAAAAGGTCATCTTAAAAAAAAAGTGAATGTGTGCTCATTCGGACAGCACTAATTTACAGGTGAGCAGGGTGGTACTCTCAGGTATTCTCTAGAAGTGGAAACAAGCCTGAACAGCACCTGTTTATCCCTCTTTGTGGAGACAAGACCCCAACTTTAGCAGCCCAGACAACTGTCTCTGATCCACTCTATTTCAAACTGTTCAATTAAACATAAAACAAACAGACTGCCACTGCGTATTCCATTAAAGCAAAGCAGAGGCATAAAAATATATATGAATTTTGTATGAATGCAAATTAAGCTGATCTGAGATTCCCTGTCACCTCTCTAGAGAAATATCTTGTTTGCTGTTTGTTTGAGAGTCACGGGGGAGTACGATGAGCATATACTGCAGCATTTGTAAAGAAGTTGAAGAGAAGAGGGTTGGGGGAATATGAAACTACAGCACAGAGGGTGCGTTAATAAGCACAAGAAAGCCTATTAGGCTCACAAAGCCTGCACAGAACATGTCTGAGTCATATTTCATCCCAGCCCAACCACAAACGATATTCAAAATGTAAAAAATAAATATGCAAATAAATAAATACAAATTACTTACATTGCAAAATATGTTACATCATTATATTATGTATTCATTATGTATTACCAAGCAATGCTTAACTTTGTGCAGTCTGTGGTGTAAAAAGTTCGCATTGGCAATTAAAGAAAAAACACTTAAGCAAAACATGGTCAGGTCAAAGTGTCCGAATAATTTTTGATCCCAAATGTTTTTCAATTTTACTGGTAGTCCACTGTATGAAGAATGTTTGGGTATGATATGTCACAGTTTACTTTATTTTGCTATCCTCACTTACATAAGTGAACTATAGTGTCCTGCACACACTAGTAAAAAAATATCAAAAACTATTTCTGGTGTCTGAATTTTTGGTTTGACTGTATATTTGTATAATTGTATTATATTGACTGTATAATAAGAATAAGGTATTAAGAATCATTATTTGAAATAAAAATTATAAATATTACAAAAGTAAAATCTACAGAAGCATTATGGTTCTGACAGACATTTCTTTGTGAGATTTTTTGTCTTTTACTGTCACTTGGAAGTACATAAATGATGTATTTCATGGATTCATTTTTGGGTGAACTAACCCTTTAAGGCAAGACACTACAGGCCATGCTTTGGTCTATTTTGATATTTTGGTCTATTTTGCTTCCATAGCATGTCTTCATTCAGAATAGTGGAAAGACAATTTGTTATAATTTTATCTATTTCATTCTATTTATCTACTTCATCTGTTTTCATTTATAGAGTTCAAGTTCAATACCTTTAATATCTTTAAATGCAGTTTTATCTATTTTATCTTTTATCTATATTTTGAATTTTTTTTACAGAGGCGTTTGTTCACATAACATTCAACTGACTTATGAACCATTTCATTCCTAAAAACATTGACAGTCTTAATGTACTGTGAGTAATCAAATGAGTATATATTGGTATCTATTAGTTTCATTTTACAGTCCTCACCTGTGGTGTCTTGCCTTAAGAAAACCTTAACCTGCCCTAATTGGACTATTTGTGTAATACATTTCCTTGTATTCCATTTCATACCTCAAATACTTCCTCATCTAGCAGCCGCGTCCCAAAAACAACGACTCCGTCCGTGCTGACCGCAGGGCTCTCTCCACGCATCAATTCCAGCGTCTGCTCCTTCTTACAGTCCAGGTAGAGCGTAACAGACTTGCCCTCCACGCTGTAGGCTATCCGATGCCATCTGAGAAGGGATGACAGCAAGGTTAATCAGTGTCAACAACAGCAGAGCTTTATCACAGAAGTAACCCAGGGGTAAAAGTGATATTTACTGCTCTTCCAGGGGCATGGCTATTAGAGGTGGATTATGGGTCGCTTAAATGTGAAAGAACATTCTATAAATGGACACTGTGATGCTGTGGTACCATAGCCAGATCAGGAGTTGAAAAATGTATTTTTATTCTTCAAGAGCCACATTTTAAAATAGCTCTCTTCCTCCAACAATTATGCATGTTGGAATACGTCTACTAGTAATAATGTGTTAATGAATGCAAGGCATGATTCACAGTGCATAATATTGTGAATACTAATATTACCAACACTATTTGACAAAAAAAGGTTTCTACTTGGCTCTGTTTACACCTAGTAACAACAATCGCAGCTGATCTGATTAAAGATAAATAAATATTAGTCTAAACACAGTCCAAAATATTTTGTGATCAGATTACTCAAGCCATATTCAGAGGTAGTTTTAAGATCACTGTGTCTGTACTGCAAACACTAGTATGTTCTGATGTATCTTGAGCAACAAAGAATGACCGTTTATTCATAAATATGCATCACAGACACATTCTTATCTGGTCAAATTTGCAAATTTATCTCAGCAGATCACATAATATCTGACCACGGATGATGAATATTAATACCTGTTGTAAAAATACGGGGTCTTTGAATATTTTGTACTCACTCAGTCTCCATTTAATACATACAGCTAACCACTTTTTCCACTTTTCTTTGATTATTTCTGATTCCTGTTTAGATTTATTAATCTGTGTTCCCGGTTTTACTGTGAAAAATTCATGAAAATGTAATGACATTCTCTTCCTCTAGAACGATTTTCCTCTTCCGCTGACATCACCAAGGCCACATTGCCACATTGCCTTAATGTTTACCAATAACCAATATACTGTTAGCTATATTAGCTATTCAGGCATTTATCAGTATTTTTCAGTATTTTTATTAAATGTATTAAATTTAATAAAAATCCTGTTTAGCTATGAAATACATCAGATTATAGAAGTAAAATGTGAATGTCAAATATTATCGGTTACAAACAAAGAAAACTTCAGAGCACTTCAGGGCTACTAGGAATGCATTAAAACACTCACTTCCCATCAGCCAGATTGATTTTCTTAAAAATGGGGTAGAGATCTGGAGCTGGCTGGCCTTGGTGGTCTTCATAGAGGAATACAGGCGATCGGCCAAGCTCCAGCCCCAGCTGTTGGACTCCCTGCTCATCATACAAAGACACCAGGAAGAATTGAGAGTTCTTCTTAGCCTTGACAGTGGTCATCAGAGAGAAGTTCTCAGGGAAAGCAGAATCTATAAAGAAAACAGCAAAGCATTGTTCACATTTCACAATGCCTGTAGAATTTGCGCTTCAGAAAAATCCTATGGCCTCAAATGCTTGTAGGGTTGTGAAAATAAGTTTCAAAGAGTCCATACCTGGAAAGAACTGTTTAGTTGGGGCACTGAGTTGAATCTTTTTGTCGATCCTGTAAGCCATGTCTGTTTCTGATGTGTCCTTTCTTTCGGTGCACAGGCCGGCCTCCACTGACACTCCCTCCATGTCTTCAGACAGCTCCAGTACCCGTAATACATCGATCAGATTAGCTGTAGGCAAAAGAGAACACATTTTAAGTTTCATTTGCAGGCTGCCATGAACAGACTACTTCGTGAAAAAAAAACACTTTAGTATCCTAAAAAGAAAAAAAAACTTATCTTAGTTGAAGGCACTTGTTTGATGGAGGTGTTTATTTGGGTATTAACAGTGCAGAATGTTAATTTCATAACATCTGAATTGATATCTGTTAATTTGACATGGTGACAAATCCAATAAAAGAAACTTGAAAGAGTATTTATTATGGAAATAATATACTTTTTAATCGAATATACTTCAGTGCAAACTGAATGTAATGTTTTCAGGGACTTAACTGCAAGGTAATTCCAAATAATTCAAAATGTATTAAAGTTTACATTTATTTTAAATGCAATTAGCTGAACTTAAGAGTGCTTTTTTAAACCACTTAAGTAGGACTTAAGTACATGTGTAAATGTAATTTCATAATTACCTGTTGCCATTGAATTATGGTTAAAGTGTACTGCAGTGTACAGTACTTTAATGTCATTCATTATTACTGCAATCTGTGTCATATTTGTACATAATATGTATGTACTGTAATCACACCTTTATAATGATGAAGTTACAATTTAGTACATTTAAAATATATTACGACTATAAAGCACTTTAGATGTGCTTCAATATGTTAATCAACACATCAGAATATGTGCTGACTATGAAAATCATGCCAAAAGATTAAAACAATGATTTAAAATGTATGTTAAAGTAAACCTCTAAACATTTTGAATTTGACAATATTGCAAAGTGCAATTAAGTCTTACATACATAGTCATGAAAGTATATTCTATGTAAGTACACTTAAACAGTCTTTTATTTCATTAATATTCGATTATCTGCAAGTACAGTTTTCTAAAAATATATTTTTTAAATCTGAAGTACAATACAAGTGCACATTCAATACTATTAAGTATTGAAAAGAGTATGATTGGGCTAAAGAACTATGGTGCTTGGCAAAAAAAGTTCTGGAAAGTCTGTTCGATGTTGCATGTATCGAAATGATACTAGTTATGAACACTATGAGGAATGTAAAGCACAAGACTAGAGCCTGATGGCCCTGCAGCTGTATTATTCACTAAGCCAATCCCCTTTGGGTCACGGCAAGATCGAACAACAAGCTGAGAGTTTGGCTGCCGTTAGTTTGCTGATTTGCAGCCAACTCAAAGTGTGTCGATCTACTTGGAAGCTTCAAGTTGCAGTCACGTTCAAATCAAGGCCCCAGCTGGTTATGGATGGGGTGTCATTATGGGATAGAGCTATGACACAAAGTCTAGCCTGAGATAGTTAAACACATACCTGACAGGTGACACCTGTCAGCACCTCTTTTAAAAATGTCTCCACGACTTCCACTATCTAATGTTTACGATCACTTGAAATGTATTTACAGGAAAGTCGTAAGAAAACAATTTATAGCATTTAGAAATAACTGCTGTTGATGTTTTATTGAATTACAGTTTTAATGATTCTCTAATTGCACAGGTTAATCTAATGAAGCTAACCGGGGGGTTTCTTTTGACTAACCACAACTTTTGGCATGTGTGTCAGCTGAAACAAGGATCCTAAATTTAAATTGCCCTCCTGTTTCCATGGCGCTCCTTTCTCTCCTCTGTTAATTAAACATGTGGGAAGAGCTTGTCCATGCCAACCAACTACCTGCCTGAAAAATGTATTCAATTTCATATCATTATTTATTTGTTTAGCAGATGCCTTTATATTGGGCTGGCTCAAAGCATGGCAACAGACTAGTAAAAGGCAGTGCTAAAATCTGGCCGAGACTCAAACACAATGGAAAACATCAGGTACTCATTTAACCGTACTTCAGAAAGGGTTGTGTCAATATGTTGTGCCATATATTTCATTACACAGACCTTGTAAGTAAATGAAGTTTTCGGCTCACTGCCCATTGTCTCACAAACACGCATAAACGCGCCACCCAACCCAACACATCTGTTAATGTTCACTGGTTTAAGTCCATCAGTCTGAGGTGAAATGTATTTGACAGTTCAGTAAATCTGTCTGTGTAACTAAGTGGGATATGGATGATTGGAAAAATACAGCCACTTGAGAGAGTGTATTGTATGTACACATACAATTGTAGACGCATACACATAAGTGCATGAAAAAAACAGGTCAGTAAGTCAGTGGTGTTTATATGTCTGAGCACTGAGCAGCCATGTAATCTGCGTCAGAATAGGCCCAATTATCACAGGACTCTGACTCGACATCTCAACCAAAACCATAATTCTGACTGCTTTCTAATCCAAAACCAGTCAATTGTGAAGTCTAACAAAACAAGAAACTGCCCCTGACAATGCCTTTGAAATATATATGTACACAACCGTTCAAAAGGTCAGTAAGATTTATTTTTTGAAAGAAACTAATGCTTTTTTTAGTATCAAAACATTCCAAAAAAACATATTAAGCGTCACAATTTTTTTCAACACTGATAATAATAATAATGCTTCCTGAGTAGCAAATCTGCATATTAGAGTGATTTCTGAAGGATCATGTGACACTGAAGACTGGAGTAATGATGCTGAAAATTCAGCTTTGCATCACAGGAATAAATTACATTTGAAAATATATTAAAATAGAAAACAGGTATTTTAAATTGTAATAATATTTCACAATATTACTGTTTTTACTGTATTTTTACCAAACAAATGTAGACTTGGTGAGCATAATAGACTCTTTTCAAAAGCATTACAAAGTCTAACCGACCCCAAACTTTTGAACAGTACTGTGCAACACCGTTTTCTTCTTTAAAAATGTTAGAAAATAATCACATTTTAGCTTTTTGTACTTGTCTATTATTTTAAAATCCTGCAATGTGACATATGAATTTCAAAATGAAATATTCCATGTAGTTTCTCATTTAATACATTAAAAACTGTACACATAAAAATAATACAATTATAAAAATGTTGCTTACAATACTTTTAGATGATGTATAGTGTTTCAAGTTGCAGTATCACAATTTGAAACGTCATGTCAACCCACTAATTGTTAAGATAATACCTTGTGCTCAAAGTGACAGTATAACTTGTTTACCAAATACTTTGAATGAAATTCTAGAGGGAATGGGTAAATCAGTGCGCTGTTAAATATCTGCCCTCTGACCTCAGAGAAATTCACATGACAGTAATAACAGTGGCCTAATGATCTGAGGACAGGAGGAGAAATGCCTCCTCTGAGTGAGAATTCTTTCAGCACATTCCCAAGATACCCAGCTCATAGTGAACATGTTCTTGAATGCTCTCAAAACAAAGCATCCCAGACACAGACCGTCATGTTACTTATTAAGGAAATGCTAATTAAAGATGCATCAACATTTATGACATTAAACCAATAATATTTCAAACCAACTGAAATATTCAGTGAAGTACAGTACGTAGGAATACCAATTTTTGAAATATTGCATGGGAAATTAGGCTATTATGCCTACAAATAACCTTAAATGGTCACAAAGTCAATGCGTTTACAAGAGCATAAGTAGTAGGATAGGAACTGAAAAAAACATGCCCAAAATAATCCCTGTTTAACAAATCCTTTACAAAATAGGCCCTTCTCTACTGAGATCTCCTGAGGTCTAGGGAATGATCCTCCCCCAGCATCATGAAGGGGCCTGGGGCAGGTGGCTGGACGCCATGTTGGATATCCGGAGCTAGTCCAGAAGCAACATGCTGATGCTCTGTATATCCGCCAAGAGCCAAACCTGAGCCAAGTCTACAAATCACATTCATCAGAGGCTGTGAAACCCAAGGCGGTGCTACCTGTCTGTTTTATTCACCTGTACGCTTCGCCAAGTGCTGCTCTCACAGATCTACCTGTAGCTATGTCACCTACACCTGTCTGGGACTGGGTGCGGCCGTCTGGCACATCCCCACAAAATGCTTCGTCTGGGGGACTTATCCAGTGGAGGCGCCTTTCCAGCATCACCTCAAATAACTGCTGAATGAATTCAAGATTTATGTGAGTTGCAAATTACTTAGAATGCTTGATGAGTGAACCTACTCACCCCATAAACACATTTATGTGTGTATCTAGCACTTTGGACTAAAAGAATAGTTAACCCAAACCTGTATGTATTTTTTTCTTCTGCTGAACACAAAAGGAAGTTTATGTTTAGATTTTCTGTTATATAACCAAACAGAATATCTTCAAAATATCTTATTTTGTGTCCAGCAGAAGAAAGAAATTCATAGAGGTTTGGAACAACATGAGGGTGAGTAAATGATGACAGAATTTTCATTTTTTCTGTGAACTATCCCACTTAAAGGGTTAGTTCACCCAAAAATGAAAATTCTGTCATTAATTACTCACTCTCGTGTTGTTCGAAACCCATAAGACCTTCGTTCATCTTCGGAACAAAATTTAAGATATTTTTGATGAAATCTGAGGGCTCTCTGACCCTCCCATAGACAGCAAGGTAACTACCAGTGTTGGGGAAAGTTACTTTTAAAAGTAATGTATTACATTATTGCGTTACTCCATAAAAAAGTTACTAATTACGTTACTTAGTTACTTTTTATGGAAAGTAATGTGTTACGTTACTTTTGCATTACTTTTTAAAGTTTTAAACTTGCGATTTCAAGTTTTCCTTTCTCTTTGGAGTGTTACAAGCTGATTGTGCATAGATAAGATCCCTGAAGTTGCAAAGACTAAAATCTCAAAACCAAAGAGATATTCTTTATCAAAGTTAAGACTCTGCCACGCCCCCCTAAAACGACTCGTTCTAACACGCCTCCACATATCTACCTCACTATGTGGAAAAATTAGCATAATGCCGCCCAAATGTTCACGCAAAGAAAGAAGGCGTGGTTTCAGTAACCGCAGTTAGTGTTGAAGCAGCCATGTCAGGGAGACGCTGTGTGTTTCTAGGTCAAAGCAAGGATATTTGTGTTGTTTAACATTTAATTATTGTAGGTTTGCGTTATATTCTGAGTATATTCTGAGCATTTTTTTAATTCATTTT